TTGCCACATTCCAGAGTCAAGAAAACAGAGAAGATATTTGGGTTGCTCAAAGTCAAGCAGCTGATGTCAGAGTTGACTTTCAAATCCAGATCTTTTTACTCCATGCATAGCCCTGGTTTTTATAGTACCAAACTCACTTACAGGTAGTTTTCCATTATTGACCCTTTCCTTTTACTGATGTCAAAATTGTAGAAACCACTTTTAAAAATAAAAGTTTATTTTTTCAGTTTAAAGTAATGAATGCTCAATGAAATACATTTATAAAATTAAGAGAGGGACTAGTCACCCAGAGAAATCAGTGTGGGGTTTTCCCAGGACTTTACCAGTTTTAGCACTGGAAGACTCATCTCCTGGGCACCAAGATTTGGAGTTCAGCTTCCTTCTCATACTATCATGTCCTGGCTTGGTGGCCTGGGGAAGAAATACTCTTTCACTCTGACTTTGAAATAGACAGTGGGTTTTGCAAATTGGTCCCAGGTTCCCTTTATTCCCATTGATTAGGGGAAGAAAGACTGAAGGTGTGGATTTCTTCCCTGTGGCTATCCAGAAGTAAAACTGGTCTTATTTCTGGCTTTTTCCTACCACAGTGCCTTCTACAACCCAAATTTCTGCCTCTTCCCAAAAGAAGAGCCAGGGTAACCCTACAAGGGCAGCTGTGCCAATGACATCAATGCCACAGGTGATTTGTGGGTCCCTCCGTGCCTGAGATTTTAGATATGGCAATGACTAGCCCACAGTCATGTCTGTTCTGCAAGCCTGAGTCTCACCCCTTTGAAATCATCCGAGATTAAAGTTGGAGAAGAATCTATCCTAAGGAAAGTGGGATGCCCTGAGTTTGTTTGGGATGCTTCCTTTGGCTTGCGTCTGTGGGAGGATGGTCTGGGGACTCCTTGGCGTCCACTCCAGCTCCTTACTCCTAGTCCCTTCCGACTATAGATGCTGAAGGCAGCTCTCAGCTTCCTTGCCCTGGAGCTGGTGGCACTGATGGCATTGTAGTGTTCAATGGTTCAATAATCTAGAATCTAAGCCTTGGAGGAGGGTTCTGCTTTGATTCTGCTCAAAACTTCATGAAACTCATAGCAGGTCTTTCTTGCTTATTCCTTTTAGGGAGAGAAGTGTACAGCTGTATTTCAAACAGTCTTGGTGCAAAATAGAGTCAGCATGTTTCCACTTTGCATTACCATCCAAAAAGTGTCCTTGGGATTTTGACTGAAAACTGACACTGAGAAGCCCTGCTTTTATTTTGCTCAGAACTTCAAGAAACCACCAGAAGCCTGTAGCCAAGCACATATTCAGAAAAAATAATATCAATAATAGTTACAATTTATTGAGCAATTTTCGCATACAGGAATTGTGTTAAACCTTTTATATAGTTATCTCTTGTGATCTTCTCAATTACTGGGTGAGGTAGGAGTTATCGTCCTGGTTTTACTATTGAGGAACTGAGTTTTAGTTACTGGGGTTTAGTAATGAATTTAAGTCCACACAACTGATAAGTGGCCTTCTTGGGATTTGAAGCCAAGTCCACAGGAGAAAGGATGGACAAGCTGCCCTGAACTGCTCTGGGAGAGGCTCTCGTGGGAGCAGCAGCGGTGATACTGGAGGAAGTCAATGTGTGTATGCATCTGACCTGTGACCACCACTCACTCAGATGTAGCAGCTCAGCAGCTCCTGTGGGCTTGAAGAAGCCAGGGTGGCAGGAGCAATACCAGGACATTTCCTTCAACTTCTGGGTCCCTCCAACTGGTGTCAGCAAGTCCAGGAATTGGGGCTGATGGACAGAGGGTAATCTGGCTCCTACAAAATGGAACACAGCTGGTGCACATAGCTGGGTCTCCAGGACATAGGGCGAGGTAAGGGAAGACTGAGCAAGGAGGGATTCTTGGAGAGACGCTCAAGTTAGAGATGGAGCTGGGGAAGGAGGCCAGGGGCCAGGGAGATATTGGGGGACCAATCTGTGTGATTTCAACAATGTCCCAGGTAGGATCCTAGGAATGGGACTTGTACAGCTGGTAAGGGTCAGCTCTCCATGCTGCAACTGGTCTTCCCTTAGTCTCTGTTAGGAGTCCCAGGATGGAGCCTCAGCGTGTGGTGGGCAGTCAGGTGTGGGTGCTACACCTTGTCGCAAAGACTTTTCCTTTGAGGAAGCATGTGGATTGCCTCATCCTGGGGTTCCAGGGATCGAAGGAGAGGCCGGTTAGCTCCTATGAACCTCTTTAAAATCCTAAGGACAGGGCCAATTCTCAGTTCTGCTGAGGCTCCCCACAACTCCCTGCTGATCTTGGTTGGTGACACCTGGTATTAGGTAAAGGTACCAGAAAGATAGGACATCTGGAGGAAGAACAATAAGAGAAACATGATTTATCTTCAAAACTCAAATTGTGTGTGTCAGGGAGGAGGTGGTGTGCAACCCTGTGCAGGGGGCAAGGTGATAGCTTGACCTGAAGGCCAAGTTTTGCTCTGTCTCCTGGTCCCAGGAATATTATGGGGTAGTTGAACAGAAGTTTATTTTAGGATGTGTGCTCTAAGGTTGGGGGGTGCAAGGACTGCGAGGCTACAAACTGCACTGTAAAAGGGACGAGGTGGGCAAACCCTACCTTTATCACTAACCGCGTGACAAGGATCAGCATGGAAGTGAATCCAGGCCTCACCTTCCCACATTTCCACTCCTCACTGCCAGCCACTTCCATAACAATTCCTCTGACCGTAACCACCCAGAGTTATATCAGACCTCATCCCCAGCTATCCTGAGCTGGGTCAAAACATCCTTTGCCACCTGAGGCTGGATCATCAGGGAGCAGCCGTAGGCTCAGAAGTCTGTACAACTCCCTGCACTTAAGACCAGCTGCCCCCACTCCTCGTCCCCCGGGACTAGGTTACAAGGTAGGACTTTATCCTTCTTCATCAACTGCCTGTGCAGCCTTTTCCTAACACCAACCACCCAGAGCTGGATCTACACAAATCAACTCTGTATTCTCAGCCCCTGCTGGCGCATTGACCCTGTGGGTTCATTTTCTATAATGGCTCACAAAATTCACAAGAGACTGTTATCTATACTTACAGTTACCCATTTATTATAACCAGAGAGGAAACAAGTGAAGAGATGCATCAGGCAAGGTCTGGGAGTGTTCCTGGCACGGGGCCTCTATTGTACCCAGGGGCTTGCTGCTCCCTCTCCTGTGCATGGATGTTCTCACAGATCCAGGCGGCTCCAAAAAGAGCGCTCCAAGGTCCCAGTCTCCTAGTCATTAAGACCTCAATGAATATGCATGGCTTGGGTCTTAAAGCATAGTTATGATGAATACAATCCATGAATATGTATGGCTGCATTATGTCCCCCTCTCTCCTGAAGTCAGTTCACCAGATGTGGGGTCTGTGTAGCCCCTACTTGCCTATTTTGGAAGACAGAAGCATCTTGATTGCTCAGGTTATTTTCAGAAACCAGAGCCAAAGGGCCAAACCAAGTTCTCTGTCCCACAGCGGGTAGGATCAGGAGGGCAATGTCAAGTATAGAAGGCTATGTGTCACAACCCCCAAGAGGTCTTTAAAAAGCTGTAGACAAACACTCTCATTCATTCTAACCATATTTATTGTGCACTGAATGTGCCAGGTACTATTCTGGTACTGAGGATACAGCAGTTAATAAGACAGTCCCTGCCCTCAATACTCCCACCTCCAGATACTAAGACATATTAAAATTTACAGTAACCAAAACAGTGTGGTATTGGTACAAGAACAGATACAGCAATGATACAGATTAGAAAACAAAACCTGGTGTATATAACTAGTATGCATTAAAGACAATATTGCAGAATGGCTTCAGGACTGGTTAGAGTGATTTAGGAGAGCCTATTTCAGGACTCCCTAGCCCACCCACATGATCACTTCTGAGCATTCTTTACAGTAAGCAGTTAAAATGGGGGAAGAGACAGATATGGCACCAAAGTTACGATAAAGATGTTCTGAAATGAATAATTACAGATGGATGTGGCTGGTGGAGGATGTGGTCTTAACAAACCCCCAGTTTTGGTTTTTGACTTACTCTAATGAGGAAAATTATTAGATTTAAGCAGGGTCTTGAGGAATCACCTGGAAAGGCTCAGACTTTATAAGGCTTCCCTCCCTCCCCCATTCAATCATTTGGATCTCCTTTCTTCTCACCCAACTGAAATAAACATAAATGAATTGTAAAGAATTCTCTCATTCAGATGGCCTTTCAAATCAGTGAAAAATAGATATGGTTCTCCGGCAACTGATTATTCAAGAAAAAAGGTATACCAAAATAAATTCCAGATGAAGTCAAGTTTAAAATGGAAAAAATAATAAAAACAAGAGAATATAATTATTGAATACAGAGGTTGGGAAATAGAACAACAAAAATAAAGCAAAAGATTGCCAGATTCAATAATTTACAAATTAGTAAGAGAAATATGACTACACTAGTGGAAAATGAACAAAAAGTTAATTTAAAAAAAAATGGCCCATGAATGTATAAAAAAGTTTAGCCTCTCTGGCAGAGCAAAGAAAATGCCAATTAAATTGAACTATTAAGTACCATTTTCAATACATCAAACTGATAAAAATTAAAAGGCTGGTGCCAGTCCCAGGCTGGTGCAGTTATCATGGTTGAGGTGAAATGGGCTCTCATAGATGGTGTCATGGGATTGAATTATGTCCCCCAAAAAATGTGTCTATTTGGCTGGGCCATGATTCCTGGTATTGTGTGATTTTCTTGTATGTTAGAAATCCTGCCTCTGTGATGTTAATGAGGGAGGATGGGCTGCAGTTGTGTTAGTGAGGCAGGACTCAATTTACAAGATTGGATTGTGTCCTGAGACAATCTCTTGGGATATAAAAGAGAGAAGTGAGCAAAGAGACAGGGGGACCTCATACCATCAAGAAAGCAGGGCCAGAAGCAGAGCGTGTCCTTTGGACCCAGGGTCCCTGTGTGGAGAAGCTCCTAGTCCTGGGGAACACTGATGAGAGAGAAACCTTCCCCTGGATTCGATGCCCTGAATTTGGACTTTTAGCCTACCTGACTGCGAAGAAATAAATTTCTCTTTGTTAAAGCCATCCACTTGTGGTATTTCTGATGATATAGCAGCACTAGATGACTAAGGTAGATGGTAGTAAGTAAATTTTAGGTAACCTCTCTAGAAAGCCATTTGACAGTAAGCATTAATAGCTTTAAAACTATTCATATGCTTTGATCCAGTAATTCTGCTTCTAGTAATTTATTCTAAGGGAAATCATCAGAAATGTACTCAAAGATTTCTGCAAAAGCATTTCTGAACTGTTTTACTATAACTGCTGTATCAGTTAGGACTGCATTTGGCTGCATGTAACAGAAAGCTGACAGAGACTTAAGCAGGATGATTAGTCTGCTCACGTATCAAGAGTTCCAGAGGTCGGCAGTCCACAGCTGGTCAGCAGCCCCATGAGGCACACCATCGGGGACCCAAGCTCTACAAGTCCTTCCACTGTACCACCCAGAGCAAGGAGCTGCTTTTTTTATGCCTGAAAATGGCTCTGGCCCTTCTAGGTTTCCCATCCATGTTCCAAGCAGGATGATGAGAGGACAAAAGTTCGTGCTTGCAAAGTCTGTCCTTGAAATCAAAACACCACTAGTTTTGTCAGCTTGTATCTCTTAACTCCCCAGAGCTGAGTCACATGACTTCCCCTAGCAAGAGCTGGGGAGGTATTTTTAACTAGGCACATTATCATCCCTCCCACCTAAAGTGAGGTTCACTAATGAGGAAGAATTAAGGTGATCCATTTAATTATGAAATCCTCTATAGCTATTAATGTCAGGTTTTTAAATTTTACTGACCTGGGAAAATGCTTATAATGTTAAGTGAGAAGCTGGACACAGAACAGATACAATTTCAATTTTGTTTTAAAAAATATAATTTACATACACACATACCCACATATGAGAAATAACAAAATATTAATTGTAACGTCTATATGGTTGGCATTTCGAGTCTGAGAACTGACGCGAAATCAACAAAGTTTTATAATAGGAAAAAATGTTATTTTAAAAAACATCCCATAAACTCTCAAAGGAGACTAAGTCCAAAATATGTACAATTATTCATTTTCATCTTCATTGCCAAAAGAAAGGAGGCTACTATTTTTGATTTGCTTTTGTGAGTTCTTTTTAAAAGACTCCTGCTTATGTACTTCATCTTCATTTGTCTTCTTCTTTTTTGAGCTTGCTGTTAAGCCTGAATATTTTTCATCAGAGGGACGCTTGACTGGTTTCCGATACATGATTCTTCCATCGGTTGGAGCTGGTTCTTCATCTGCAGCAGAAACGAAATTAAAGAACTTTCTTCCCTTTGCACCATTTTGCTTTTGTAAAGCCAGTTGCTGTTGAGTAGATTCCAATTCATGGCGACCCAATGTGTGTCAGAATAGAACTGTACTCCATAGGGTTTTCAACGGCTAAATTTTTCTGAAGTAGATTGCCAGGCCTTTTTTCCCAGGTACCTCTGGGAGGACTCCAACCTCCAACCTTCTGGTTAGCAGCTAAGCATGTTAACCATTTGCACCACCCAAGGACTCCTTTCCCTTTATATATAATTTGCCTTTATTGGCAAGTCAAATGGCAAGAACATCTCATATTGTGTTAAGGATGTCTTGGAGTCAACTCAGTCTGGTTTTCTCCACTGCCTCTAGCTATATGCCCCACAAGACATGCAGTCACTCAATAAAAACCCACTGAAGTATTCCATACTTTTGTCAGTACCCAGCTAATTACAATCAGGTTGTATTTTATAAGTACTCTGAAAAGTGACTGTTTGGAACTCCAGCATTTCTGCCTAAAACAATGTAATACATGTTTAGCAATAATAAAAAACCACACTTCAGATACTTATTAGAGAACTCTGTTGACTGGTCTGCAAACTAAACCACCTTATTTTTTTTAAAAGGATGCTTTTAACTTAAATTCACACTCGATCCACCTAACAATCCAATGAGGTGGTACAATGATTGCCTCTACTTTGCTGATGAGGAAACTAAGCCTGAGGTGAAATAACGTGCTCAAGATCATACATCTAATCTATTAAGTGTCAAAGCCAAGGTTTAAAACTAGGATTGTCCTCTTCAAACCCTGTGCTCCTAACATATCATACCACTGCATAAATAAAGCCATTTCATACTCCAGGATCCTTAAACTTAGAAAAACCAGACTTCTCTCAGACATACCCGCTTTGGCTGCCTTTATCTCTGCTTTAATTTTCATGACTTCTTCAACTGACAAATCTCCTTCTTTTAAAACCACCACCTGGGGCTGTTCATCTTCTTTGTCGCTGTGATCACCATCTTCGTCTGGGAGCTGAGGCTGGATTCTCTAGGAGAAAGAACAAACACAGTCTGACCTTGACCCAAACACGACCCACTGGCTCTGTGAGAAACTGCGATTACAAAAGTGACAGCGGTAACTTTATTGAATAAATATGTGTTTGGCAATGAATTTTCAAGTAACTCCCAAAAGCGTAACCTCCCCATATGAGGAAACAGGCCCACTGCCAGTCACTCTGGGTGCCCGTCCAGTGGATTCATTTCCATCTCAGCAGCACCCCAGCCTGCAAGTTCCACTGTGGGGACTCCGCTTCATAAGCCGCCATCATTCCCAGCCTACATGGAGCAGTGGTTAACCAGGTGGGTCCTCCCTGCTCCTCACCAACCCTGTCACCTCCATCTCTTCTCAAAGTTAGACAAAAAATAACCAGCAGCAAAGTTCATAAAGCAACAAATAAATAGTACTCTTTCTCCCACCTATGCTCAACCCTTCTCCCTTCCAGCAGCCCCAGTTTGGTGGGCATCCTTTCAGCTGTTTTCTACAGGTATACAAACATGTAGGCATATGAAACATTTTGTGTACAAATAGGAGACTACTCCTGACTTGCTTTCCTTTCTTTTCCTTATTAGTTTAAATGATGAAATTTCTTGAATATAAAAAAGTATAGAGAATAACATAACAGAAACCATGTACTCACTATACATATGTAACAAATGGTAACTGTCTGCCAACTGGCTCAGATTAAAAAACAAATTACATACCATAAAAGTCCCACTCCCCCAACTTTTTACTTAAAAAATATCTTTTCATATACTTGAGATACATATAGGATTATCTGATTTTTAAAAAACAATGGTATTTAATTATATATATGGTTGTATCATGATTTATTTGTCCACCCAAACCAAACCAAACCAAACCCGTTGCTGTCAAGTTGATTCCGACTCATAGCGACCCTATAGGACAGAGTAGAACTACCCCATAGTTTCCAAGGCTGTAATCTTTATGGAAGCAGACTGCTACATCTTTTCCCGTGGAGTGGCTGGTGGGTTCAAACCACTAACCTTTCGGTTAGCAGCCAAGTGCTTTAACCACTGCACCACCAGGGCTCCTTATTTGTCCACCAGTGCTTTGTAAATAAAAAATTCGGTCGTTTCCAGCTTTTTCTACTACAAAAAATTCTTGAACATATTTTTGTTCACTTTTGTGACCTTATATGTAAGATAAAATCCTAGAAGTGAAATTGCTGGGTTCAAAGGCATGCATACCAAAAATTTTCATACATTATTCCAATACTTTCTATTACTCCACCTCTCACAGAGCCTTCCTTGTCTCCTAAACAGGGCAACAAAGCCCTGAGTGATCTAGCCCCAGCCTACAACCACAACTTATCCTCCACCACTCTCTCATGGCCTCTAGACTCCAGCCAGATTTGAGTACTTGGCATCTATGACCATATTAGCTCTTTTGCTCCCTGGTCTCTGAACAAGTTCCCAGTGCCTAAACTGGTCCTGGCCAACTCCTACTCAAGCTGCCTTCAAGACTTAGATCCTCTAGGAGTGCTTGCCTGACCTCACCTCCTCTTCTTTCTTACACTGTGCATAGCTCCTAAGTGACAAGCATCACACTGTTTTATAAATGTCTTTCTATGTCTACTAGGTGAGCTCCTTCAAGAGGGTACAATGTGTTTCATCTCTGTATCTAGGGCACAGAGCCTGGCACACAGCAGAAACTCAACAAAAATATTTGGTGATCTATTCACAAAAGACCAATAGTGATGAAAACTGACGAACTATCTAAAGCCCTGGCAAATTACTCACAAGCACATCCACCCATTTTGTCTATACCCCAAATTTCCAAGTCTGCTCGATCACTCTAATGTTACTGTCATCAGCTGCCACTGAGTTGACTCCTACTCATGGAGACCTGTTTCGAACAACAGAACAAAACACTGCCCAGTCCTGCGTCATCCTTATAATAGCCAGTATGGTTGAGTCCATCATCGTGGCTATTGTGCAAATCCATCTCACCAAGGGTCTCCCTTGCCCTCATTGGCCCTCTACTTCACCAAACACGATGGCACCCTCTAGCTATTGATCCCTCCTGATAACATGTCCAAAGCCAGTGAGTTGGACAATTTTCTGTCGTGATCCATATGGTTTTCATCGGCTAATTTTCAGAAGTACATCGCTAGGCCTTTCCTCCTAATCTGTCTTAGTCTGGAAGCGCCACTGAAACCTGTCCAGCATGGGTGACCCTGCTGGTATTTGAAATACCAGTGGCATAGCTTCCAGCATCATAGCAACACACAAGCCACCAGAGCATGACAAACTGACAGATGGATGGTGGTCTTTAATGATATCCATGTTAATGCACTAATTATTCATCAGAGCCATGGACTGAATTGTGCCCCCCAAAAATATGTGTCAACTTGGCTGGGCCATGATTCTTAGTGGTTTCGCAGTTAGGTAATGATGCAATCTGGCAGTTATGTAATGATGTAATCATCCCCTACGATGTGATCTGATGTGACCAGCCAATCAGTTTTAAGGGGATTAGAGTGGGATGCCAATATCCTTAATTCAAGTCACAGCCCTGATTCCATGTAAGGGGAGATTCCCCCGGGTGTAGCCTGCATCACCTTTTATCTTACAAGAGATAAAATGAGAGAGAAGTGAGCAGAGAGGGACCTACTACCACAAAGAAAGAAGAGCCAGGAGCAGAGCACGTCCTTTGGACCCGAGAACCTCCTAGACCCAGGGGAAGATTGATGCCAAGACACATGGAGGTTTCCAAGGAAAGCTGCACCCACAGATGTTGAAAGGCGACAAGGACCTTCCCCCAGAGGCAACACAGAGAGAAAGCCTTCCCCTAGAGCTGGCACACTAAATTTGAACTTCTAGCCTCTTAAACCACAATAGAATAAATTTCTGTTTGTTAAAGCCATCAACTTGTAGTATTTCTGTTATAACAGCACTAGATAACTAAGAAAATCAGTTTCTGCCTATTTTTCTTTGAAAGCTTCCAATAAATGATCACAAACAAGTAGGTAATTAGTATTTTTAGCCAAGGAAATGGAAAAGTGAAGTAAAATAATTCCTGGTGTTCACTACACTGAAAATCGTAATTTTGATTCTCTTCTGTTTTTTTTTAAACTAGACAAGCAAGAGAAACAGTCTAAGTAACAGTGGCAAGAACCACTGAAGACTGTTCAAAGCTATTCCTGAATTATCTCTCAAGAAGGTAAGATCATTTACCTCAATTATATAATGATTCCCCATGAAACTCTTTTCTTTTTGTTAATAGTTCACCAGAATGCTAATTATATAGTCAAACCGATTAAGGATGAAGTTGGTCACTCAAATACAGGAACATAGGTACTGCTCTAAAGAAAAACCTCTTGATTAAATTAGTCAACCTAAATCACTGATATTGACTGGAAAGTGTTTTCCCCCAGTGTGCTCCTAAGACAGTATTCCACGCTGTAATCTTCAAGGTGTTAACTATGGGTACATAATCATCACCAGGACCTGAAGCAAACTGGAAAGTTAGGTCTCATATTCTCACTGCTGAATGTATTCCTCTTTTCTCAAACCTCATCCTCTTTGGCATCATGGCAGTTTTTGATACCGGGGAGCAGTCACTCCCTGATCATGTTATCACCACTCAAAAATGGCTCCTTGTTGCCTACTGAATAAAACAATGTAACAAATGTTTAGGAATAATGATAAATACTGTAAACATACCACACTTCATTTCCATTAGTCCCTCTTTCACCTCTAAATGCAGTCATCACCTCTACCCCTCTACCCATGCTGTTCCCATCTCTACCTCCTAACCTATCTATGCTCAAAATCCAATCTAAATATTCACTCCTCCATGAAGCCTTAACTGTTACAAGCACAGTCATCCAACCAATGTAACTGATCTATCACTACTTGGTGCCAGGCACTGTGTTTTGTACTGGGAAAGTACAGAGGATTAAGGTACTAACGTAAAGTTCGGTCTAGTGGTGGAGATACACAGGACAGCAAGTAGTTGCAATGCAAAATGATGAGTATTATAGATGAGATATGGACAAAGTGAAGAGAAGAACAGAGAAGGAGTAACTGGGGGAGATTCGAAGGGCTTCACAGGGGTGGTGACCTGTGAAAGTAGGAAAGAGGCTGGGCCGGAAGGTGTTAGAGTATGGCATTTTTGAAATCCATCTCTTTGTCCTTTCAGAGCCTGGCACAGTGCCTTGGTTTAGCACATATTCACTGGGTTGAATAATTTCAAGTGAGTCTATCTGGTCTCTTCTATGCTTTAAGAGACTTGAAGGCTGGATCTTAGTGTAAGTGCTAGACAGGGAGTATAAAATAAATTACTTCTCCAGACATCCCCTAAGCATAATGGTCTCTAACTACTGAGAGATGAAGCGCAGGTTTTGGTGTGAATCTGTTAGGGTGAAAGTCTGTGAGGACTCAGAAGTTGATTCCCACAGACCCCCATCCCTAAACTAGTCAAGTGTGGTTCTTTCCTGAAATTTTCTTCTATTCCGATCTAGGATATTCACGGTTTGACTCAGATCCACTCTTTCTCAGGCTTACTTTTCTGGTAACAAAGCATAGGGCTAGATCCAGGGCCTTCCTACCAACATGCTTGACTCGAGTCCTAGGACATCGAGTTCTTTGATACAGTGGCCTCAAGTTTCCTTATCTGAAAAACGGAGACGACGCACTATCCACCCTGCTACCTCAGAAGTTTTGAAGTAAGCAAGTGAGAACGAAAAGGCAGCAAAGTGATTATTTCTTAACCAATCTACCAAGGACCACGCGCTTTACCTGCATCAGATCATTTTTAAGAACACAGCAACGCTCCGAAAACGACAAAGATCTTCCTGTGCGCAAAAGAACTGGTTGTCTGAAAAGGAATTTTTGGAAAACAATTTTGGGAGCCGGGCGTGGGTGAGGGGAGGGTCCGGTTACTACCCAGCTTCCAAGTCAAGGCAGAAGCCGGAAGTGGTGGGATGGGCCGCGGTTTCCCGGGTAACGCGGCTAGCTGGGGCTTACCTTGGTCTCTAAGGTAGGCCCTTCCCTGTAGCCAACGCGCTCCTTGAAGCGGGCCAAGAACGCCGGCTCGGCCGGCCGCACGTACGACACCTGATTCCGCTTGCTCATGGCGGTCTCGGGGACAACAAACTCACAGCCCTGACTTATGACGTTCGTAGGAGACGGCGCTTCACCGTGACGTCACACGAGGCCCGCCCCCTAGGGCGGAAGCCGGGCTACAAGGCGACCTCAGTGCTGGCGTCAACGTCTGACCTGAGCGCCAAATTCAAATTCGCGGCCATCTTGACTGGGCGGACTCTCGGCGCGCGGCGCGGCTGGAGGCGGAGGCATCGGCTGAGGAGGTATCTGGATCAGGATCCGGGAGCGTGGGTGCCATGGCGCCCGGCTGCAAAAGTAAGTACAGAGCTCCCGCTTCGTGACCCCGTCCCCACCCCCGAATACAGTTGCAAAAGGACGGTTCGCCCCGCTGCTGCTCGGAAGGTTCCCTGCTGTGTGTGAAGGGCGCGGGGTGACTGAGCGACGAGGGGTGTTTGGAATCTCTCTGCCCCTCAGAGACAATACACTGATGGAACAGCTCACATCACTTCCATCTGTGTATTGGGCGCATGCTACGAGCCAGGCGCTGTTCTAGGCGCTGGGGATGAGCATGTTATTGTTGTTCGGTGCCGTCAGTCGCTTCCGACTCATAGCGACCCCATGTCCAACAGAACGAAACACTGCCCCGTCCTGCGCCATCCTCACAATCGTTATGTTTGAGCCCATTGTTGCAGTCACTGAGTCAATCAGTCTCCCGGAGGGTCTTCCTCTTTTCGCTGACCCTCTGTTTTACCAAGCATGATGTCCTTCTCCAGGGACTGGTCCCTTCTGATAACATGCCCAAGCCATCGTCGCTTCTAAGGAGCATTCTGGCTGTACTTCTTCCAAAACATATTTGTTCGTTCTTATGGCAGTCCATGGTCTATTCAGTATTCTTTGCCAACACCATAATTCAAAGGCATCGATTCTTAAGTCTTCCTTATTCATTGTTCAGCTTTAGCATGCATACAAGACAATTGAAGACACCATGGCTTGGGTCAGGCGCACCTTAGTCCTTAAAGTGACATCTTTGCTTTTTAACACTTTAAAGTTAAAGGTCTTTGGCTGCAGATTTGCCCAATGCAATGCGTCGTTTGATTTCTTGACTGCTGCTTCCATGGGCATTGATTGTGGATCCAAGCAAACTGAAATTCTTGACAACTGCAATCTTTTCCCCCTTTGTCATGATATTGCTTATTGGTGCATTTGTGAGGATTTTTTTTCTTTATGTCGAGATATAATCAATCCATACTGAATGCCGTAGTCTTTGATCTTCATCAGTAAGTGCTTCAAGTCCTCTTCATTTTCAGCAAGCAAGGTTGGGTCATCTGTGTAATGTAGGTTGTTAATGAGTCTTCCTCCAATCCTGATGTCCCATTCTTCATGTAGTTCAGCTTCTCAGATTATTTGCTCAGCATACAGATTAAGTGTGGTGAAAGGATACAACCCTGACACACACCTTTCTTGATTTTAAACCATGCAGTATCCCCTTGTTCTGTTCAAATTGATGTCTGTTGGTCTATATACAGTTTCCTCATGAGCACAATTAAGTGTTCTGTAATTCCCATTCTTGGCAATGTTATCCGTAATTTGTTATGATCCACACAATTGAATGCCTTTGCATAGTTGATAAAACACAGGTAAACATCTTTCTGGTAATTTCTGCTTTCAGCCAAGATCCATCTGAAATCAGCAGTGATATCCCTTGTTCAATGTCCTCTTCTGAATCCAGCTTGAATTTCTAGCAGTTCCCTGTCAATGGACTGCTGCAACCGTTTTTAAATTGTCTTTAGCATAATTTTACTTTGGTGTAATATTAATGATGTTTATTGTTTGATAATTTCTGCATTCCATCGGATCACCTTTCTTTGGAATGGGCACAAATATAGATCTATGGATCCCTTCCAGTTGGTTGGCCAGATAGCTATCTTCCAAATCTCTTGGCATAGAGGAGTGGGTGCTTCCAGCATTGCATCTGTTTGTTGAAACATCTCAGTTGGTATTCTGTCAATTCCTGGAGCATAATGACTTGGTTGAGAGTATGAACTCTGGATCCAGAATGCCTGAGTTCAAATCCTAGCATTTCTCTGTGATTCAGTCTTCTCATATCTCAGTTAAGAATAATGCTAGAACTGTCTACCTCTGTGTAGTTTTTAATGGCATTTTATCTCCACTATTGGCTTATTAACTTTGCTTCCTTTTTTTTTTTTTTTAAAGAAACTTTTTATTCTGGAATAATTTTAGATTTACAGAAAAATTGCACACATGTGCAGATTAGTATTCATCCAATCATTTGAGGAGTCCTTTCTCTGTGAACTTCTCTGGTATTTTACCCTACAAATGCTAGCTGCCTCAGCTTCCCTGAACTCTGAATCATCTCTTTCTCCTCAACTCAGTGAGACCACCAAGCTCTGTTGAGGCTCACCTCCCTGCACTGGGGCCTGGAAACTCGAGGCAGTTAAGCTGGTGAAACTGGGCAATTGAAGGGCACACTGGTTTTGCTCCCCTTACCTCAGGATCACTTTACTTTGCTGCCTGTTGTCAGAAAACTTGTTGCATATATTTTGTCTAGTTTCCCAGTTATTTAGGACAGAAGGGTAAATCCAGCTCCTGTTACAACATTGTGGCTGAAAGTAGAAGCCTGTTTGTGGTTCATCTTTATTCCTAGGGTGTAGTCTTTTGGTCTCCCATTTGAAAGCCTGGAGCATTTACCAGGGCTCTGAACCTCAATTTTTGTTTCTCTCAGCCTCTTAGCTGCAGTTTTTAGAATCAGCCATCCCTTTGAGGAGAAAAGGAGCTCAAATGCTGGGCTCACGTTTTTGGGTTCCCGTCCTCTCTTGGATTTTGGCCCCACATTTCCTTACTGCCTTGGTAGGTCTCCAGTGCCTTCCGATAGATGTTTTCTGTATTTTGTCAGCGTTTCTAGTTGCTCTCAGGTAGGAGGGCTGGTCTGAAATAAACTAATCCTTTAGTTCTGTACGTAGAATCAATCAGTGGAACTGTAATAGTAAGGAAAGCCTGGCTCTAATGAATTATGGTTTTACTCCAGAATAGAGATCAAAACAGTCTGTGTCTGAGGCAGCATAAAAAGAAAGAAGACTGAAATGAGTCCTATTAACATAAAGAAAGGTTATAACTGCTGCACGTTTTAGTGTCATCTCTTTGTGCTACACTCCTACCTAGCCACTCACATCCTGGTTCCACTATTACTAGTGCTGGCATGCAGGGGTGGCCTGAACCTTAAAGCATTTGTAAAATTGTGCTATCTTTTGCTGTCATCTAGAGGATTCATGGTTGTAAATGATGGTGAAAGGGATGCCATCATTTGTATAGAATAAAGAGCTGGACTGCGTTCACTGACTGCCTTTAGCATTGTCCATGATCTTGAAGGATGGCTGAGATTTAGGTGCCTGTTCTGACCCTTCCTCCCCATGAGACCTCCAAAACACCACCCAAGTGCCTGTCTGACTTCAGCCTGTGTTTCTATTTGGCACCGACCTTTTCGACTGTTGGGACATATACGGAGCTCTGCCCATGCTCTCTATTCTAATGCTAATTTTCTTCTTTCTCCAGCTTTTTATAAGTACCAGACCTCATCTTTACTAACGTGAAAGCTTTCCTATTGTATCTTTGGGTCTTCTCATTTATTATTATTATTTTGCTAAAAGTATAGAGAAATGGTTTCTTTGCTGCCAGAATTCTTGAGGGGGAGGGGATTGTGCAGGGCAGGTGGGGACTGGGCGATGTGTGGTTTATTTCCTGCTTCACAGACATTCATTTACTTGAGGGTACAGCTGGAATGATGGTCTCCAGAAATTGAGTTGTATTATGGTAGTTTTTTGCTTTAAGCTCTTATGCTATGAGCAGAACAGAAATTAAGTCCTTTTTTACTGTTGTCCTAATATTTATTCATCCACAGATGTTTGTTGAGTGCTTACTAAGTGTCAGGCATTGCTCTAGATAATGCCTTATAGTCTGTTTGGGAGCGCCAGAGGATAAACAAATTAATATATATTATGATGGCAACGATAATAAATTTGTTTGTAGGAAAATAGGGCTGTGGAAAGGGAGTAAGAGTGATGCGGGGGGGGTGGGAGGGAAGATATGCTATTGTGTCATGTAGCGGATGGTTATGGAATATCTTATTGAGAAGGTGATATTTGAATAAATACCTAAAGAAATTGAAGGAATGTTCTAGGCAGAAGCTACAGGAAGTACAAAGGTACTGAAATGTGGCATGTTCAAGGAAAAGCAAGAAATCCAGTTTGGCTGGAGTGGAGTAAGTTGTGGAGCAGGAAATGAATTGTGGAGGTGGGGGGGGGCGGCGGAAGGAGGGGGTATAAGGGTGGCGCACAGGGTGGATGGTTACACCAGATCATATAGGGTCACGTAGGCTATTGTAAGGATTTTGCCTTTTACTCTGAATGAGATGGAAAGCCACAGCAGTGTTTTGAACAGGGTGACTTGCTATGACACACACATGTCCACATGTATGTATATTTATTTTAGTAACTTTTTATTTTGCTATAATTTAAACTTATGGGAAAAAATGCAAGAATCGTACAAGGAATTCTTGTATAATACCCTTTACCCATATTAAGCTTGGCAGTTCCAACCCACCCAGAGGTGCCTCAGAAGACAGACCTGGCAGTCTGCTTCTAGAAGATCACAGCCATGAAAACCCCTGTGGAGCAGTTCTACTCTGCACCTGTGGGGCCACCATGAGTCGAAATCGACTTAATGGCAGCTAACAACAGCTTATATTAACCAGTTTACATTTTGCCACATTTGTTTTATCATTCTCTCTCTCTCTTCCCTATTCTGTCACTCTTTCTCTATATAACGTATATGTATGTAGATATATTTAAAATATATGCATGCATATTATTTTTTTCTAAACCATTTGAGAGTAAATTGGGGATATTGTATACCTTTACCACTAAATTCTTCAGTGTGTAATTTCCCAGAACAAGCATATTATCTTAACTAATCACATTGCAACTATCAAAATCAAGAAATTTTACATTAATATAGTACTGTTGTCCATGTTTTACATTTGTCAAATGTCCCAG